CACTTTGAAGTTTGACAATGATGAGAACATAGTGTGTTCCCAAAAGACAACATGACATGAAACTCGGAGTTTTTGTGACACAGGATCCCAACAACGATATCCTTTTTGTGTAATCCCATAACCCAAAAAACAGCATAATCGAGCTCTAGGTTCTAACTTGTTATGTTCATGAGGTGGAAGAAGAACAAAACATGCACAACCAAAAACCTTAAGAAGATTATAAGCAGGAAGAATACCATGTAGACGCTCGTATGGAGACTGGTTATTAAGGATTGATGATGGAATGTGATTAATAAGATAAATAGTTGTAAGAGCAGCTTCACCCCAAAATCGCTCTGGACAAGAAGATGAAATGAGCAGAACACAAACAGAATCAAAGATGTGTCTGTATTTGCGTTCGGCTCACCCATTTTGTTTACAAGTAAAAGGACAAGATTGTTGTGGTAGCGTACCTTGCGCTTTTAAAAATAATTGAAGTTTAGTACCAAAATATTCAGTAGCATTGTCAGTTCTCAAAACTTTAATAATTTTAAAGAACTGAGTTTTGATCGTGATAGCAAAATCAATATAAATTTGTGATAATTGAGAGCGACTTTCCATAAGGTATATCCAGGTAAAATGAGTATGATCATCAAGAAATAACACGAAGTACCTGGAACCCCCCATGGTGGATGTACGAGATGGACCCCAAACATCAGAATGCACGAGATCAAAAGGAGCAGTAGAATGAGAATGACTACTTGAAAAAGATAAAGCTGGTTGCTTTGGAGATTGACATGACACACAATGCATAGATTCATTCAAAACTAATCCTAATAAACCACGAGAGATAAGTGGACGAAGTTTACCGACTGAGATATGTCTGAGTCGTGAATGCCACAAATGGAGAGGAGAAATGTTATTAGTAGCATAGGCTTGGAAGATTTGTTGATATGGAATTTGCAAAGACTCTAATTCTACAACACAGAGCAGGGTTTGGATGAATCGATCATTTGGAAATGATGGTGTATCCATTTCATTATCAGGAATATGCAGCTAGTTGAGTTCAAACAAACGCCCCACCTTGCGACCAGTTCCAAGAAGTTGTCATGTCTGTGGGTTTTGCACACGACAACCATGAGTAGAAAATGTTACTTCAAGACCAAGATCACATAATTGACCGACAGATAGAAGATTATAACTAAGTTTTGGAACTAAAAGGGCATTTGGTAAAGTCAATGACTTTGTAGAAACATTGCCAATGTGACTAACATTCATAGGGGAAC